CAGAATGAACTATTACAGTAATCTACATAATTATATCCTAACTGGGTTGGTTGATCGATTATCCACTTCAGCCCCCACACGTTGGAATTTTATTTCTCTCATTGTATCTAAGTAGCTACTGTACACACTAACAGTATTCATTTTGGGGTACTTGCAAAACACAATGACCTCCAAATTCCTTAAAATTTTTCGCCTGCGGCGCTAAGCGGGTGGCTCCCGCCCCCCACAACTCCTGCAGCTCTTATAATATACGTCCTCTTTTCAAAATGCGCCCCCCCTGTATTCAAACCCACGGGCCGCCACAGCTTGCACACCAATCGATTAATCGATTTTGATTATTTTTTTGATGTGGACTTTTGCTTTTCATCTACATATTTTGGTATTATACAGAGTGTTTTTTAAAACCTACAAAATTGATGTATGGTGATAATATCCGTTCATAACTTTTCCTCTTTCAGCAATAACTATTTTTTATCTGATAGGTGATACTATTTGGAAGTTTTAGCACCTCTTGCAGAATTTTTATTAAATGAGCGGTTTGGGTATAAAAAAATATTTTTTAAATGTCTACATTATCGTGCCACCCATATTATAATATTTAACAAAGTGCTAGTAGGTATTAATTTTGTAGGTCGACTGTAATTTCAGTATGATCTTTAAGTCATTGTGACTAACAATTTTTAATGAGTGGTTACGATGTTAAGATATACCACCTATTACTTCATTTTTCGATATGGATATACGATGGATTAGAGTTATTTACAATGTGTCTAGTTTTATTCAAAAAATTAGAAAAAACAATCAAATACAATGCATTGATAGCATTATTATTGGCCCTGTTATTCTACCCAATGAACTGTATGGGGAATTTTATTTAGAATTTTTGTAAAACACTACCCGAGTTATTGGAAGGTGTGCCGTTATTACTCAGAGCTAACATGTGGTTCATGCATGTCTGACAGTATCTGAACCAAAGATTTCCTCGTCGATGGATCGGTAGAAGGGATAATGCTCCTGTTAACTGGCCTGTACTTTCACCAGACTTAACACCTTGCGACTATTATCTTTGGTGCACTTTGAAAACAACAGAGTATGCTTTCACATCTAACACTGAAGAAAAGTTGTGGAGGCATATCCAAATTGCCTTCAGGAACTGCAAAGGGTGCATTTTAACTTTCTTCACCGAATTAACCTTTGTTGTAGAAACAACAGTGATCATTTTGAACAGTTTTTATAATAAGTTGTACTAATATTAATAACATCAACTTTGTTACTTTTATCTCCAGCATTTTTTATTATATCTTATTGTTTTTACTAATTATCTCAATAAAATTAGGCATGTTGTAAATAAATCTAATTCGTCATACGTGTATGTATCCATATCGAAAAATGAAGTAAAGCGTGGTATATCTTATCGTAGTAAACACTCATTACAAAATGTCAGGTACAATGACTTAAAGATCAAACTGAAATTAGTCAATCTACAAAATCAGTGCCTATTAGCACTTTGTTAGGTATTGTAATATGGGTGGCAAGATAATGTAGACATTCAAAAAATATTTTTTGTACCCAAACCGCTCATTTAATCAAAATTCAAAAGCTATCAAATTAAAAATAGTTATCATTTTTGCCCGAAAGAGGAAAAATGAACGGATATTATCACCACATGTCAATATTGAAGGAGTTGTAGGTTTTAAAAAACACTTTGTATAACACCAAAATGTGTAGATCAAAAACAAAAGTTCACACCCCAAATATTATTAAAATGGAATAATATGTATTTGAGTTATTTACAAAATTCAAAAAATTTTCACTAACTTTGAGGCCATCTAGTGGCCAAACGAAGCAATTTAGGATATAGGTGAATTAGCATAAATCTGCCTATTTTGAGGCCACGAATCTGTGGTCTTCCGTTGTACACGTTATTCTGGGACACCCTGTATATATACAGGGTGGTCGCGATGTAATAGGCCAAAATTCATGACTAGATTCCTGACGTGAAAATATTGCGATTTAGACAAACTCACCTTAGTCCAAAAGTTGATAGTGCAAGATAGCGACTATCAAAAAGTATAGCTTTTTTGTGTAAAAGAAGTTGTAAAATCAGAATTTGCTACCTGAGAATTAGATTTTTGAAAGATAAAAAAGTTCTGTCGTTTTCAACGCATTCGACCTAGCGCAGGTGGCGCTCTCTATGAGCTACAAGCAAACCATGAATATATTTCAATCTCTCGCCCCAGAAAACCCCTAACACCAAAATTTCATCTCGATATGAGCATATACTATGAAATAAATAAGAAAAAACTAAAATAATATTTTGCATTAAACACCCTGTATCTCTGTAAGTATCAACTTTTGGACTAAGGTGAGTTTGTCTAAATCGCAATATTTTCACGTCAGGAATCTAGTCATGAATTTTGGCTCATTACATCGCGACCACCCTGTATATATATATTTTTTTGACACCCTCTATTTCGAAAACGAAGCATTTGCCGACCTACGTTTATAGGAATTTTTTTTCACATTTTTGGATGTATAATCTGCTCTGGAATTCTCTGAACAACATTTTACGACACCCTGTATTAGATCAATTTTTTACTGTAAAGTTAGCATACGATAATTTCTGTTGGGTTTTTAAAGCAAGGTATGGTGAAACAACAAGTGAGGAATATAATGTCAATACTATTTGAAGTAAAGTGAATAACGTCAAGGATTACATTATATTAAATCACAAGTAAAATTTTTTGTAAAAACATTTATTTTCCGTAACGAAGAAAAAGAGTGCTCTAATCAGTTATATGAATCGACACATCTTTTAATAAACAAAGTGTACCAATTTTGCCTAACATGGAATTATACAGGCTGTTACAAATTCGCTTCTCACTACAGGGATCTCGGAAATGGTAAGAGGTACGAAGTAGCTTAAATGGGGGCAAAGTTGCGTAATCAGGGGACCAACATTATGCCTTTAAAAAATCGCTAACATCATTAGTTTTTGAAATATTTGAAAAAAACCGAAATTTTGAAAATCCGTTTTTGTTTCATATCAGCCTTGTTTGAGGTGATATTGAAAAAAGAAGAACAGTTTCTCATGGCCACTTTTTGCCCTCTATCGAATGGCATAGTCAATTTTTATAAATAACGTTTTGTCTCTCCAGGACCATCATCAACTTCATTTTTTTAAATATGACCCTAGAAATTTTATTACATTCTTTGCAAACCTTCAGGACCCCCAATACTGTACTGCCTCAGCCCAAACCAGATTTAGATGTTTTGTCTCGAAAAATTCATCTTCAGTGTATTTGTTCCAAATTTATCTAAATTTTTTATATAGATTTCTTTGTTTATTGAATTATCGTACACTGTAAGTGTCGTTAGACCCTGTGAAATCCATCTAGTTATTTAAACTATTACCACCACGCGTTACAATAAAACATTTGTTATTATTAACTATTACCATCACTTGGTCATACATAACTCAATAAGTTGTTGCGTCAAAATTAAAACATTATTACAATTTTAATTTTATTATGACAAATTAATTCTTAAAAATGCAAACCTATCAACAACCAAAACGCCAACTGAATATTATTCTTTAAAAAATTTCAGTAAATGTTGAAAATAAAGATCAGCGTAATATTATCGGAATTTATTATATCTGTAACTGCAATTATGAAAGAGCATTTCAGATGTATTCGTATGAATATCCTGAAAAAAATATATCGGAATTTGTTTGAGTTTTGAGCACTCGAGTAGCCTAGAAATAACTATGGACTCGGAAATAAAACTAATAATGTTTTATTTTAATACATGGTGGTAATAGTTTAAATAACTGGATGGATTTCAGAGTCTAACGACACTTAGTATACGATAATTCAATAAACAGAGAAATCTAAACAAAAAATTTAGATAAATTTGGAACACTAAAGATGAATTTTTCGGGACAAAACGTCTGAATCTGGTTCGGGCTGAGGCAGTACAGTATTAGGGATCATGAAGACTTGCAAAAAATCAAATAAAATTTCCAGGGTCGTATTTAAAAAAATGAAGTTGATGATGGTCCTGGAGAGACGAAACGTTACATATAAAAATTGATTATGCCATTTGATAGAGGGCAAAAAGTGGCCATGTGAAAGTGTTCTTCTTTTTTAAATATCACCTCAAACAAGGTTGATATGAAACAAAAACGGATCTTCAAAATTTCGGTTTTTTTCAAATATTTCGAAAACTAATCATGTTAGCCTTGATTTTTTAAAGGCATAATGTTGGTCCCTTGATTACGCAACTTTGCCCCCATTTAAGCTAGTTTGTATCTCTTACCGTTTTCGAGATACCTGTATTGAGAAGTGAATTTGTAACAGCTTGTATATTTCTTTTATACTTAAAACTTTGTCGAATAAGTATAAATAAAAATAACATTCCACATTTTCACACTTCGTTCACTCTAACCATGGACATACATTTATTTAAAAACTTAAAATTGTCAGAAATGGAAATTCTTTTGTAATTTTTAATTTCAAACAATTTTTTCTAGTGAAATTTTTTGAAAAAGTAAAAATAAAGGGTAGTTTATTCATATGACATTTTCATACATATATTCAGGGCAACCCCATTTTAAATACACGCAAAACATTTTATCAATTGTGCTTCTTTTCCATAAAGTGAGAAATTTTTTCCTTTTATTTATTCTAACCGTGGACATCCTGTATAATAAGTCTCTTTCAGTGTTTAACTTGCAAATACACTAGTTAATATGAAGGAAATATTTTTGGTTTTTATATGAAGTCTGGTCATTTATATCTTAAATTTTGTTAGTTTTGAAGTTATACTATTTGAATTTAGTAAATTACTTTACTACATACTATTATTTTCGATAATTTATTTAATAGTTACAAAAATTTAGAAAAATAAGGATTATTATAAATATCAGATTTAAATCTGCTATTGAAAATGCATTGTATCTGTATTATTTTCTAGTAAATTGTATTTTATTTTGATAGGCAAAACTGGCCAGGACGACATATGTTATGTTGTGGCAAAATATGACTATGAGCATCAAGGACCACAGGAATTAGATTTGAAGAAAAATGAACGATATGTTCTTTTAGATGATACTAAACATTGGTGGAAAGTCCAAAATTCTAGGGGCCAGGCTGGATATGTCCCCAGTAATTACGTAAAGAAAGAAAAACCATCACTTTTTGATAGTATAAAAAAAAAGGTAAAGCATGTAACGAACATATATTTAAATAAGTACCTACAAACGTGTGATACACACATAAACACATTAGCAGTAGTGACTAATAAAAAAAAAATAAAAGTTCAATAGGAAGATTTTTAAATTGATTGTTGAATTCTAACAAACCACACATTTTTTATTAACTAAGCCTTGCAGTGATTTTTTCTCCTTTTCTTATTTATTCACTTTCTGCTGCAACAGTATCTACCTCTGTCTATGTTTAATGTGAATAGTGTAATGTAGTTTATTATTAATTTAGCTTATTAATCTTTATGCTGTAAAGATACAGTCATTGTGACACAAATTACTCTAATATCGAAAAATATGTCAAATTTTTCCAAGAGTATTAAAAGGTCATTTCCCAGTAAAATTTAATTTTCAAAGGAATTTTTGTAAATATTTTTCAATTCCCCATTTTTTGACTGTCGATCTTTTTGTGCATGAAATAGAAGCAGAATATACAGGGTGTAACTTTAAGTGAAGGTCAATTTTTAGGGATAATAATAGTTGTTCCCTAGAATACAAATTTCAAATTCTTTTTTTTTAATGAACTAAATAGTTCAGTTATAATTTGATTTTTAAACTGCACTTAAAGTGATGTTAATAAACCTGGTGTCATGAAATGAGTATAGTAAATAAACTCTTTTAATGTGATGTCACATATTTAGGCAACCCACAACAAATTGTCATAGTTGAAATTGTGCAGACCGAATCTGATCCTTGTGTACTATTTACATAGATACTATAAAAATGAACAACTTCAAATTAATTTATTTTTACAGAATTTAAAAGTATTTAAGTATAAGGGGTCATCCATAAATTACGTAAGGGTATTCTTTCACATTTTCAACTCCCCCATCCCCCATGTAAAGAAACCGTAAGATTTTTCATAACCCCCTTCTCCCTCCCCCACCTAACGTAATACATTACATGATTCAATTAATTTTTTTTTTTATTATAAAAAAAGCTTTACAACTTCTAATTATAACATTTATTAATATATTTGTTATATTATAAATACATAATAACATTTATTAATATATTTGTTATTTTAGAGGAGAAAAAAATGAATATCGACTTTTTTGGTCACGAAAAACCCACGAATAAAATTTAGCTCTGTCGCAGTTGTCACATTTTAGGTTTACTTATAGCTATAATTAATAAAAACGGCAATTCGCGAGTTGTTAAAACGGGAGAATAGAAATAAATATACCTAGTAAGCAACTGGAAACGAACGTCATAAAAAAGTAAAGAGATAAGAGTCGATAAGAGACTGACCTCTGAACTGTTGAAGTGGGTGAGTCTTTTTTTGCGACGTAGTATACAGAATCGGAATAAGGACGGGAGCCCGCAAAATGAATAAAAGTGAAATAGATAGCGATGATTACAATACAGATGACGGTGTGAAAAGGAAAAGAGAGGGATAAGGAGAGGTAGAAATGTTTGGAAGAAGCAAAAAAACAAATAGATCCCCTGTGAAGGTAGCTACGGTTTTGGAAGATAAAATTGACATTCTGCTGAGAGAAATAAGAGCAATAAAAGTAGAAATGGAAAGTGTCAAAGAAATAAGAACGGAGGTAAAGCAAATAAGAAAAGAGATGAAGGAATATAAAGAGGAGATATATCAACTCAGAAAAGAGAATGGTAATTTAAAAAAAGAATGTGAAACAATTAAACAAGAGAATGAGGAAATGAAAAAAGAAATAAAACTGACTAAAAATAGGGTAGATAATCTCGAGAAATATGCGAAAGAAAATAATGTAATAATAACAGGAATGATAATTGATACAGATGATGCAAAAGCCTTAAAAGAAACAATGGCAAATTTTTTAGAAATGAAGTTAAATGTTGAGGTTAAACTAAAACGCGTACGTAAATTAGGCCAAAAAACGTGTCTGATGGAATTAAGCTCAGAAGAAGATAAGAAAATGGTTATGGAGAATAAGAGCAAACTACGGAATCTAAAGAATGAGCGAATTTATATTAACGATGACTTAACAAAAAGCGAAATAGAAATGCGTAAAATGATTAGGGAAAAAGCGGAAGAAGAGCGAGCAAATGGAAAAACAATAAAAATTGGATATAAAAAACTAATTGTAGATGGAAAGGTATGGAGATGGAACCAAAATGAAGAACGATTAGAGGAAGTGAACAAGAGGAAGTGAAACAAAAAACTAGCTACAGGAGAACATAAAAGATGTAAGTTGAAGGACATGGCAATGGAAAAGGTAATAGGAAAAGAGAAACAAAATCGGTCCCAGGAAAATGAGATAAAAAAAGGCAGAATTAATGAGGAGCTGCGAGTAGCAA